TGTTCGAAAGGACGCATTAGAGCAAATGTAAATAACTCAACGTCAACCACTTCGATTTCCACGAATGAAACCAACGAAATATCAAATAATCGTACGATGCTTAAGCATATATCTACTCTAAGACGTTCAAATTCAAGTACTACTTCCTGCTCAGCGGCTACAACCTCATCTTCGTCGGCGAATTCAATTAGTAGTCAAATGAATACGCGGGAAAATTCCGTCAGCAGTTTAAAGCCTTCAAACACAACCAATATGAAACGGATCAAAATTAACGAGGGCATGGAAAAATCCAACGAACAAAAGCCAGCGGATAATTCGAATTCAACCGGCAGGATGACGGCTAAAAATAGCCGAAAAAGCAAACAAAAGAAGATAAGCGAAAGCAAAAAGATACAAAATAAACCACCGCCAACATCATCAGAGTCCGAGGAAGCGGAAGAGGAGCAAAATAAAGTATCATTGCAGACAGTATCCACTGCGAAATTACCTAGGCAAAGGGTTCTACAATCCAAGCAAATTGCGGATAAGCCACCAAAATTAAATTCACAACAAAAGCAAAACAAATCGAAACCCACCGTGCCACTACCAACATCCTCTGCATCAGAATCAGATAAGACGCGATTGAATGCCGCGTTGAAACTAAGCAAGGAAATCAATCTACGTCGTCCAAAATTGGTAGATAATGGCCAGTTTGATAATAATCCATTCAAAACATTGCATTTACATGATTCTGATTCAGAAATGGAATCATCTGCACGTTCAACTTCTAACGCGAGTGAAGAAGCGCAAACGAATCGGCATTTGCTTCAACAAAAGACGCAAATAAATCGTCAACTGGCAAAGACCGATAACAAGGTCAAACAAAATGTTGATGTAAAGAAAACTATCGCTAAAAAGGTGACTGTAGAAAAGACACAAAAGAAACGGGATGCTATTGTCCGGAGACCCATTAAAGAAAGCTCGGAGCAAGCGGTTGCCAATAGATCAAATACGCAGTGTCAAAAACTACCCAATAGTAAAGCGGGCAAAAATGATACCATACGTAATCAACTTTCAGACGACAGGCATTTACTGCCCGATGCCAAAGTTAAACATCTACCGGGACAAATTAGCAATCGTAAAAACAAAAATGATAATCGCTTATTGACTGGAGAGACTACCGCTGGCTGTCAGAGTAAACGTAACGTGGTCGTCAACAACACCAGCAATACGCACTCCGCAGTAAATAATCAAAGCAAAAACGATAATCGCGTTACAGTTCGAAATTGCGAAACGAAATGTGCAACGCATGAAACTCAGCAACGCACGCCGTCTGCAGTAGAAACTAAAAATTCGTCGAAACGTAGTTTACGCAGTAAGAAAAGTACGCAAAAACAACAAAAACTTTGTTTATCTCTTCATAAGGATTGCTGCTCAGGTATTCCCGACAACATGGGCTATTTCAATTCGAATGAAGTAAATGCGGCGAAATCAACATATCCAACGACAAATGCGGCGACTGGTGCTATCAATACTGTTTCACCCAATTTTGATAATTCAGACGAGTTTGGTCCTGTTAATGCTTCTATAACAGTACCTAACGGACGGCAACGATTTTCGACTAATGTTAGTATAATGGATCAATTGAATCGAGGAGTACAAGTGGAAAATCTTTCGTTACCACCAGGCATCACGTTAACTAAAGTTGATCCGATTAAAAGCGAACAATTGCGTCAAAAATCCGAATCCATAAAAAAATTGGCAAAGCCTTTGCAAACACAGGCTGCCATCCCTACCGCAACGCATGCATTCCATCATCCAGGAGCCACCATTATAGCACCACCTGTAACACCAATGTCTTCATATTATAGCGCACCCTATGCTAGCGTGGCATCGACAGCAGCTATTGATCCTCAAAGTGGTATAATTATGGTTGAAGCCAAGTCAAATCCAACGTGTAAACTGCAATTTAAAAATCCCTCGTGTAGTAGTGCTAAGCAATCAAAAAACAAGAAACGGCGTAATAAATCAAAGCCTAATAAAAACGGCTGTGATGGATCTACACAGGCGACGGCCGATTCTACTACAGGCAGCAATAACGGTCAAACTAAAATCATTACCCTGCGTAATCCCATGTTTCACGGAGGACCGGTGGCTGCAGCAGCCAACATTTTGAATCAACCAGGCATATTGCCAGGTAATTAGTTCCTAACCTTAGTTAACCTTAAATTTTCTCTTCGTACCATAGTGGCTTCAATATATTTGCTTATTGGATTGGAACGTTTATTAGAAAGGGTCAATCAGGGTTTCTATTTGTTGAACATCGCAACCAAACTGGAGACTGACGATAGTTTGTAAATGAAAGACTGCGGTAGACCATAAAAATTCCCATTTCGTTTATAAAGTATTTGACTAATTAGTTGCCTGATGATTAGATTTAAAGGTGTCAGGCTTTCAACTTTTAGATCCTAATAGCAATCATTTTGTGATGTTTTAAAAAACTTGAGCTTCAGAAATTCTTACGGCTCATCTTTCTGAGCGTGCGTGCCAGACTTTAAATTGTTAGAGATGGCTGCTAAAGGTAATTAGGTTCTTAGTGGTAAAATTAGTAGTTAGTACTTAGCATAGTATGTTATTCTCTTTCGCTCTTACTTGCTTTTGACCGAGGATTGAATGATTGGTTATGTGTGCTTGCTATTCTGCAAACATGCACATAACTCTGCTTCTTAACGAACAAGAATTATTTTTAAAAAGACAAAAGTTGCTTTGGAGTAGGATTCTTGTAAACAAGATACGCTCTTGCGTTTTTTATTTTAAATAAATACATTTTGTATTTGAAGGTCGTTCCGCGGAAAATTATACATTGCCCAACCCGTTGCCGCTTGATCAACCAGCTGCTATTATTAAAAACGACAATGGTATGTACACCATACGTAATCCAGCGTTACATCATGCGGTTACAAATGGATTAGCTTTGGGTGGATATCGTCAATTTGGTAATGTCAACTATTATACGCCGCAGGAGGCGGCTGCGGAAGCTGCCAAAGCCACTCAAAAACAGAAGCGACAGCAACAAGGTGATATCATTCAACCGGCATCGGGTAGTTCAACTGCTTTTTCCTATTTTTCAAACGATTCGTTGCAAAACAACGCATCGGGCGCTCATAATAATATTAGCATTAGTTGCACTAGCATTAGCGAAAGTATTACTAGTAATAGCAGCGGTAGTAGATTATCCGGTGACGCGGCTGTAATTGCGAGACCCACGTCCGCTCAGAAATGTATTTCGGCGATTGGTAGTGAAATTAAGAATGCTCAGCAGCAAAAACGAAAATCAAAGGAACAAACATGGACTCTACCATCGCTTCTTAGCAACGATAACTGTGAGTTTCGTTTCTAATCAATCAATTTATAAAATAGTAAATATTGATATAAGAATTCATTCATTTTCAGTAAATTCTAATACGTCATTTACGATGGGAGTGGGGCGAAAGAGTGTTTCGCAAGCCGCAGCCGATTTATCCTTGCAGGAAAAATATCAACAATCTAAATATTATAATGGTTTCGATGTTTTTGCGAGTCGAAGTGGAGGCGGTACTCATATGCACCATAGTTGCGGTGACGATTCGCCGCCACCAATCACCGGTTACACGGGTTCTTATTTGGATGGCATTCCCAATACTGGTGTCATACGTTACGATGATGCGTCTTTTTTAAAAAATTTGATACCCGGACAAAATCTTAACAATGAGGTATATTTGATTCCGGTATATAAGATGTAAAGCAAAAGTGTTTTCAAATTGTTTGCTTTTTCGAAATTCATCACTAACGGACCGCACATAGAATTCTTATTATAACTTAAAAATGTACGCGATTAGCGAGAGATTTGATAGGTTGTAAATGATTAGAACTAATCTTGGTTAAATTCCAATTGGTTTAAAGTTTTCAAATATCAAAAGGCAAACTCTTAGGTGCAGTCATGATATCTTAAAAATTGTAAATTTTATCCAAACACATTTTCATATTTTCCCTTAATAACTTACAATGTCTACAATGCCTTTGCACTGACCACTTACAATTAAAAAAAAAAAAAACAAAAAAGACTAAAAAGACAAAGAAAAAATAGCGATTTTTATAATTGCATTTTTTTAGGTGATGGATGTCCAAAATACGCTTTATTTAGAACGAACGAATATTGTATTCTTACTTTTATTTTGCGTTAAGGTTTCCATTCATAATGTCGACGATACAAGTTTCGGTCGAAATGCCAGTTCGCCGTCAGCACACCGTGTAGAAATTACACCTGTTTATAGTACTCGACCATCGTCTGCTCAACTTTACGATTCACCTGGTCGTGGTGGTGACCTTCAACAAACTGTATTTAGAACAACAACAAATTTTCGTAATCATTTAAACGATTTTAATAAAGGTATCATATATATATATATATATATATTTTGCATTAAATTTCCTTGTATATTTACAATTAAATAATTCTTCCTTGTCCTTTGGCAGATTCTGCAATGTTTTCGAGTACGGATTTGCATTTGAATCTAAGTGAATTTGAGTCTACAATAAGTTACGAATACGAATCGGCAACGTCTGCGGGAGCAGCATCTCGGGATGGCGAAGATAATCATAATTCCATATTGGATTTTAATAATTTGCTACCGAAAAAAGGACCAAACACTACACATCGTGCATCGCCATATCTTGACGAATTTGTTCAAAATATGAACAATTTACAAATTTCTGCATCTTCCGATGAGCAAATATCTCAACTTAATGGCAGCAATTCGGCGAGATCAAGATCTAATACCAATGTCAATGCTGCTAGTAATTGGTGGTAAAAATAAAAACTATCTCCTACACATAAGCGAATTCATAGGTTTGTGTGTTAAGTTAATCAGATAATTAAAAAATTTTAGAAAATTAGATAAGATATATATCTTGATCACGAACGCATTTGCAATAAATTTATTGTAAAAAAACATGAACAATTCTATTCTACAGCGGCCGTGACTATTTATAGATGATAAATGAAATCGCGCATCATTGATCCCATGAAAGACGGAATACTTTTCATTCAAAACATTTTATTATAAAAGAAAACACAACAACAACAAACATACATGCAACACTTTGTGAATTTTTTTAATGGAATGTTTATTTTAATTTCCTAAAACAAAAAAAAAAAAATAAATAAATATTTAAACCTATACTAAATTGTTGAGAGAACCATTTTCGTCTTTCGCATGCACCTTCGCTGCAAATAGCGTATGCCTTGAATTAGAAACTTACGCGGATTTCTTCTTCATTTCCAATTTATTTACTTTTTATGTTCATTTTTCATAATGACATCTCTTTCTTTTTAATGCTAAGATAAAATTTCACTTATTCAAAAGAAGTAAAATCTTAATTGTTCTTAAAGAGATATCGTCGAAATTTCTTCCCTTTTGAGATTTACTCCAGATTAGCGTTGCTAATGGGGAATGAAATTCATGTACAAATTTTCATTTCTTTATCGAAAATTCTATCCTCGATTTTCTGTTACTTTAAAAACTCCGGAATAAAAGTACATATATATATATATATATATATATATATAGTCAGTGTTGACAATATGTTCTCGTGTGCCTTTTGAGGAAAATGACTCATTGCTGTGCAATTATGAAAGCAAACAAGTTAGGATTAACCCTGAATACGTACTGCTCGAAGAACTTATGTACATATCATCGATTTCCTGCTGTTCATGAGAGTGCCGGATGAATCGTCGCAGCCACCAAACCTTTACAGATTCGGCCCAAATATTTGCAACAAATGATGGAGCGATATATGCCATGCTTGGTAAGTTATTTACAATATTTTTGAATTCTCTCATTGTTGCTTTGTGAACTTTGCTTTGTTTTTCTGGGAGCACTCTATAATTAAATATTAACAGTAACTATTGGTCAGAAAAATACATATATGCAAGTTCCAGCCTTCAGCCCCAATTCTTTCGATTACTTGTAATAAGTTTTGACCGTTCACGAAGTGACGAAAATTCAACACCGAAGGCGGTGATATCTAATCCAACGAAATCATTAGCCGTAAGGGTTATGTGGCTGATTATTAAAAAATTTTTTCAAACAAAATTTTAATTGTGTAGAAGTTTGCCTACACACACCGATTTATTAAAACGAAGGAAAAAAGTTAAAATAACACGTTTCAACAAAAAATTCTATTTTTTATCAGATCAATTAATTCTACAAATATGGACATATACAAAAAAAAAAGAAAAATTAATTGAGAATAGTTATAGAGCACGTATTAGTAAATAATAAATTAAAGCAGCGATAAAACAGACAGAGAAGAAAATTACATTTAAAGCGAATAACTTGCTCCCAGCATTATTTAATGTAGACTTTGTCATCTAACTGCGCATCTCGGATTAAATATACTAATGAAACCTAGCATTCAAAAACCAAGGAGCCGGCGGCATAACTAACACTTGAATCGTCCATATGTTTACATTGACTACTTTGCGCGTATTTTAGAAATTTGAAGTTTGTGTTGCAGCCTTTTTCTTGCAAACATTTAACAGCATTTAACAATACTCCGATAGGATGGCGGCCACAAATTGTATTATTGTATTCTCTCAAATACGAAGTAAACGAGGCAGGATCTAAAGTCTCAATTATTTCCATCCCCTAAAAATGCAAAAATTACAAGGTAATTAAATTTATATATTGGGTTTATCCTATTTTACCCGTTTATCAAGACTCTCAATGGATTTATATATAGGACCTGAGGATTTATCATAATAGGTGTAGTTGAAACGTTGGCCCCAATGACAAAAATCGGATGATATCACAAAAAGATTTTCTGGTTCAAGAAAATATTTAGTAAATAAACGTCCATACAGAGCCTCTTGATCAGGATTTAAGGAGCCAACTAGGACAGGCACAATGCTAAATTGATTTTTGAATCTGAAATTTAAATTTTAAGTATAAATATTACTCAACCATGTATAATACTTGACTTACTCTTCCATAACTTTGGCAATGTAAGGCAGATGCATTTCAATGCTATGTTCATCCTCGTCCGTTTTCATATCCATCCATGAAAAGTGACCAGTTTTCTCTAATTCAGCATTAACTAGAATCTCAACGTTAATAAGTTTTTTTTTCTTTTTTTTTTTTTGCGTAAATCAACATTTACCCTCAATATCTATTTTGAGATCGTACAGAGGAGTTTCATATTTCTTAGCCACCGAAAGGGCGCAACCACGTAAACGGACATGATGGGAAGGTCCTAATATAAAAATTCTTTTACTGAAAAAAAAAGACAATTTATGTAAGAAATAGTTTTAATTTTTAAAAAATTTACATACACTACTGCCGGACTGACTTGACGGTAAGCGAAGGCACCACATGCTCCGCAGTATGTATAACCAGCATGACTAAGAAAGTTTAATATAACAAATATTCATTTGCGGCGAAATGGAACTTGTATCGTTCAAAAATACTTACGGAGCAATTATTGCGCGAGCGGGTCCATGGGACAGGCAGGCAGATGCTAGCCAATTATCCAATTGACGCCTTAATTCATTCGCTATAAATTAATAGTTTATTAACAATCTCCATTTCTTAAATTACGTTCAATATACTTCATTGATAGAATAATAACAACAGCTCCAAAATATGCTAATAACTTGGCATTTTTCAATGCATTTCAAAGCATTTTTTAACGTTTCGAAAATTCAATTTTTCAATTAAAAGATTCTTTTTTCTAGCTTTGAAATTACAGTCAGAAATTTAAAGTCAATTTAAAAAAGAAAAAAACCGTTCATGTACATTTTGCTTAAAAGTACATCAACCACGTTTCCAATACATAAAGGCAGACGTTTTTTATTAAAAAAAAAAAAAATAAACAAAAAAACGAAAAAAACAAAAAAAAAAAAAAAAATAAATAAACCGTAAACAATTTAATCATAATTTAAAAAAAGGAAAATAGGACGTTGGCATAGATTCTCGTTTTCTCTTTACATTTTCGTACCCGTTTCATCTGGTCACTTCAGAAATAACTAGGACATCAATTTTAATCGGGCATAATGAGTTTTCACTCGGTTTTTCAAAACGTAGACAAAAACAACTACAACTTGAAGATTGCGATGGTAACATATATAGTATACATATATTTTTTATAGTCATTTAAAAGTAAATACTTTCAGTTCATGAATAGTTTTTGATTCAAACACAATAAAAACTTCTATTCAATAATTATTATTATTTTACAATTCCTTTTATTTTTTAAATAAAAAAAAAAAAAACATAAAAAAAGAAAATGAATAATGAATCTGAGGATTTAGATCCAATGTTAGACGAAATACGAAAGGAATTGGTTTCTATTATTGAAGATCAGTAAGTTTTATAAAATATTGTCAGATGTTTCCATTAAAAATTTTTATTCACTAGTCCGAACGCTGAAGGATTCGAAATTATAAACGCAACGAACGATAATAAGCAGACTCCCAAGCACGATAAAAGCGAGCGCAGACGACAACGCTACAATCCTTCGCGAGGCGATGCATCTAATAACGGTCTATTACATGATAACAGATTTAATAACATTGACGACGATTTGAACAATATGTGCGTGAATCTAATGCGAAGTTACGAATTGTTCCAAAATGTTGGTGGCCGTTTCGAAAGCTTTAATTTTAACGGTCTCTTGGATCGTATTAAAGATCTGAATCTAAGTGGCAACACTAATGAAGCGTTTAAAGCAACAGTGGACGATTTGAAGCGCACATTCGATGAAGATTACAAGGCAAATCGTTTAAACGAAATGACAAAAACCGCCAGTTCCAAGTTCAATAAACATGCAGGAGAATTTGCTGATATACCAGAAGTTGGAGAATTTTTTCGAGCATGCAGCCATCTCGAACGTGGCTTAGAACAGTTAAAAAAGCAAAGAACCGAGGTAAATGAACTAACTAAACGGATGACATGGGCAATAAATACGTCATACAATCGCATCGATGAGATACAGAAAGGCTTAAAGGAAAAAAATCAATCGCTTCAAGCAGCGGAAGGTGATGATAAAAAGAGAAATCTTAAGTAGTTTTTTGCCATCAGATGTACATCCATTTTTTTTTTTTTTTGACAATAATGTCTTTGTTACGTTTCCCCCGTTTTTGAAAAAAATCCCAAAATTAAACATTTGAATTTGTAGTGAAACGTTAATTGTGGTCTTTTCTGTTCTTTAACGCTAAATGTATCCAAAATATTAACCTTTTTTTATTACCTGATGAGGTATACCAGCTTCCAGCGTGAGAAGCTTTTCTACTCGACATGATTATTGAGCAAATGTTTTGCAAAGATTTTACAATTTTTAATTCGCAAATGAAACGAGAAACTTTAACAATAATTAGCAAATTATCACTTTATAAGCAATTACACCACAGATTTATTTCGTAAACAAAGAATGGAATCTGAAAAGGATTTCGATTTGGTTATTTGCGGCGAATTGAGAAGTAATAAATCTATAGTTGCCAGAAGCGTTGAAATTATATCTATTTAAGATTATCCCCGAGCTGTGAACACGTGTCAAGAAGACAACACATTTCGGGTTAAAAGGGGCCTTATAATTTCCAACATTTTATTTGTCCGTATATTTTTCAAGACCTTTTGAAAACGATATATATTTTATAAAAGCTTTGTCTCAAAAATACGGCATACGAACAATCTCCAAGAAAAGTTTTTAAGATAAGTAGAATTTAGACGTATATAATTCAAAAACAAGCCGTTCCAAATCTTTGCGCAATAGCAAATTTGAACAGTAAAGCGAAAAATACTGCAACAACACTTCAGCTATATTATCGATTTACGTTTTTACTAAGCGAGTACGTTCTGAGGCGCAATGAAACTTCACTGCCTGAGTGAGAAGTTTAATTTGTGTTACATAAAATGGAGGATAAATTGATTTTTTTTTTTTTTTATATATACATAATTTGTAAATTAAACTTCTTCGGCAGACCGGGGATTATCACTGTGTTTTCCCAATTATAGGAAACCGTAGATCTTTCTCCTCTGAAAATAAAGGATATATGTTGTTTCTTAACACATTCAAACACATAAACAACTTTAAGAAATATTCCAAGATTTCAATATTTACTAATAAAAATATTTTATAAGAACAGCGTGTAAAAACAGTACGTTAAGTCCAAAAAAAAATAGTTTTTACATTTTTCCGAAATTTTCTTTACAAACGTGAAACGACATATGTATTTACATTGCAGAATGTTACCATAATCCTTTCGCAAATACGGTGGTATTTGGCAACTTTGTTCATATACTTCAAAGATGTACTAAGAAAGTTTCGCCATTAGTTAATTCTACCAAATTACTGAAAGTTGATGTCGCAAATACATTTCGCGTTCTAAAATTAAAGAAAACTATAAAAATATTTGGTAAAATATATTTAAAAGAATAATTTATCGTAGTTTGGTGTTTGACATAAAAGCTCTTAACAAGAAACTTGATAAATTTCGTAAAATTTTTGATTTTATTCATTGTGAAATGTGTAAATCTATTGCAAGTACTCGAAATTTTTTCAGTTAGTGTTTCTTAGTTGAAGAAATGTGTTTGTAGCGAGTTAAAGCGATTGAATTGGTCGCAAATATACATCGGCGTCATTACTGTACTAAAACATTAAATTCGCCTTGTTTGTCGTGTTCTCCATCATTTTCCGCCATTTTGAAAAGTACGAGTGTAAAGTTGAAATTTTTATTGACGCGTTGCCTATGAGAAACTCTAATAAAATTGTGATTTTGTGTAAATTTAAGATTGTTAAAAAAAACCAAAATTTATTTAATCAATTCTTGGAATATTCTTCGAAGTTTACATTACAAAAATTAAAGTGCTATAGAAAAGAAATATAAAAAAAAAACATTCCACTTTGTAGCTAATGCAGCGAGTCGACAGCAGCGTGACGAAGAAAAAACTCGAAATTATAATCTAAGCATCGTGTCCTGTTCTAGTGTTTCATCTAACAGAAAGAGGCCGTATATGGTATTTGTTATATTCAATAAATTTTTCAATTACGGAAAAGAATTGTTTAAAAAAAATGTAGTAATCTTTTTTTTTCTCTTTATTAAAAGCACATTTCTTTCTGAAGTAGTTGTGAAAGTATTGTGTGTATGTGTGTGCGTGGTGAGTGCAAAGTGAAATAGAAATTAAAGTACAGCAAACAACAATTCCGAGCGAACAGCATGGACTCTATACCCACATTGGGTGAATTATGAAAGCCCATGTATATATACATGTTTGTGCATTGCACACGATGTGTGTTCTTGCGTGTGTTTGAATTGTAAACGTATAGCCTATAGAAATGTGAATATTATGAAACCTGTGTTTTATATATATATATATATATATATATATATACATAAGTATATATACATGCATGCATGTAAATTTGTAAGTTTCCATATAGAAATTTTGTATGCATTTTCACTTTGTCCATTTTGCATTTCTTTTTTGAATTCGCCGTGCAGTGAACATTATTCGCTAGTTATTTCTGCATATATAGAGAGACAGACACACATTCATATGTACGCATATGCGCATGTAATCAACGAGTCCACCGTAAGAAACGAGTGGCAAGCAAATTCAAAAATTCGCCTACTCTTCTTGACATTCGTAAATTGGTTGGTTGGTTAGCCGTCTGTTCTTACATGAATGATAATTGTATATACCTTATGTTTGACACATGTAGTGCGCGGTAATTTTTTTTTATTATTGTGCGTTTTTGTTTTGTAGTTTAAAAATTTAAAAAGTATCTTATTGTTGCCTTACATTCGATTGATAAATGGTGCAGGTTATAAAGCGGATCGGCTTGATTATTTTTTATTCTCATTTTATAGTTTTCTGGTAATAGTTGAACTTATATAGTTTTATTTATAGATTGGAACAAATTTTATTTATAGTTTCTAGCTTATATTCATTCAGTGTTAGTGTCTTTCTACGTGTGTATGTGCCCATATCTCTTTGTTAACATATATATATATATATATATATATACGTCTATGTATATATATTAAAAAGGAAAGAGATTATACGCAAAATTTAAGCATTTTATATTTACATTATGTATTACTTAACAATATATGCAAGTGTATTGATTTGGACGTTTATAGTTTTTAGTGTGTGAAAAGGTCGATTGTGTGTGTTTTACTGTCCATTAGGATAAACCGGCAAAAAAATAATCGTATTTGTTCTCCCTGTAGCCAGGTAAATTTTCAGCTTTTTCAAAAAATTTGAACAGATTTTGTTTTTGTGAAATATAAAATACAATAAGTCGTTTGATGTAAAATGATGAGCACTCTTTTTCAGTTGGTTTATCGATTGGTAGTAAGCTCAAAGCTAACAATAATATAATAATCAAGAAGTACAAGCACAGCTACTATACATCATTCATTGAGTTTTGTAACAATTGCATATTTGGGTGTAAACAAAATCTAAATTAAAGGCAACTTTAGCTTTTGTTTTATAACATTTACAATGGAAATACTCATTGACATATATTTCAAATTTATTAGTATTTATTGATTTTGAAAAAAACAAAAACTAAAAGAATTAAATTTCAAAATTTCATTCAAATGGAGTGGCGAGGCTGATATTTTCTATTTTTGTCACATGGGGGTGTGGACGTTATAGACGTGTTTTTGTAAATCCTTTTGAAAAATTGTACATTATCTTCATTTTTGCCAACGGAAGAGTAAATACTGTACTATACAGTTACGCAGACAGATATGTGGGCAGACGGACAGAGGGACATGCTAAGGAGCGTTCTACATTTGTAACTGGCAAGGTAACTGCTAGTTACACATTTTTTCCTGCGCGTTATAAAGCACTGAAAAAAAATTAAATTGTGTTGCGTAGAGTAGGCGTGGTCCATTTTTGTACATTTATGTGCTATAGTTTATGTGCAATGGGAAGTTTTTTATTTCTCTTGAGAAATAGAGATGTTCTCATTTTTGGCGGTGCTGGAGACATCTCCTTAGACCGATTTGGTCCATTTTCAGTATCAACTCGCGTGCAAAAAGCTTTCAATATTTTTGCTAAAATTCAAATCGATAGCTTCATTTTTCGGCCAAGACAGACGGACAGACGAACATGTATGTAAGAATACATAGAGAAAGCCTTTTATGCAACGAATGGCTGGTTAGCTGCAAGAAAATCTCATCACTGAAAAGCTTTGAAAATGCCAGTAAAATATATCCTTTTCGTGTGTGTTTAAAATCTTACATTTTAATAACATTTTGCTTATGAGTGGCATTCGGCAATAATTTGATTCACACACTTTTTTTTTTAAAAGCCTCTGAAGATAGCAAATATCAATATTTTATGGATGCAAAAATAATTTCTGAAAATTCAAGTCAATCTAAGCTTTAAATTAAACGACGACTACGATTACTCTCTGTGAAGAAATATATAGATTTATCCACATCGGGTGATACTTATTTTGGCAACATATTTGTGGAATTATTGTATTTATTCAATAATAGATGAAATCGAAACATAGTCCTCTTAAAAGTTATCTAATCTATTTATCCGATTTTTAGTTTTTCTGAAGACATCGGTTGTATTCTTTTATAATAAATTACTTAAATGTATTATTACTATTGTATTATTACTATTATTATTATTATGCTTAATTTAGCTAGAGAAGTAAATTTTGCGGCTAAAGTCTCAAAACACTAGCACCTAAGGGCATTCAATGCTATCAAATGCTTTAATAAAAGTTCTACCATTAAAGGCTTCGAGTTTGTTAACAGCTAAAGATCGTATAGAGGATCGTAAAAGGGTGCATTTTCCCGAAGAAATTCCCAATCTTCGAAACATTCGAAATGATTCACATCAACCAAACGAAATGCGGTCATAGCTAAATGAGAATTTCGGTAAAGAAAAAAAAAAAAAAAAAATTAGGAAAATCTGTTGATAAGTGCCCAAGATTCGTTTCAATATGAATGCTTCCCCTTCTCCTTTTTATATTTTTTTGACTACAACTTATGTGAATGTTTTGTCTAAGACACAGTTATTATGATCGTCTGACATGCTTATGCAAATATAATCATTTATAAAAAGTTATTGTTGTGTGTGTCCCCACTTTATTATTATACCATTAAGTATAAACTTTTTGTATATAAACTTTGTTCGGAAATAATTTTGTTCATATTTTTTTTTGGTTTATTTGGGTTTATTTGAATTTGAAATTTCAATTAATTGTTATATTTTTATTAAGTTGTTCTTCAGTTTATATATGGAAGAATATGTGTATAATATTTTCCATATACTTAAAATTGCGCATTTTTTCGTCTCCTTTATTGTGTGTTGTCTATTTTTCTATGTATATGTGCGGGTACTTCGAAACACCTTCAGCTTAAATCCAACGGAAAAGTTACGAAATAAAACTTTTTTCCAACATAAACAAGTTCTTTTAAATTAAACTTTTCCCTCCTTGCTCTGTCATCCCTTTTTTATGCAGCTGCTCGCAATGCTCACATCAGACACAAAGTTATAAAAACGGTTTTACTTTCTTATTTTGTTTTTCGTGTTAAATGTTGATATGTTTCAGGTTTTTTTCTCTTTTTTTTGTGTTTTTTTGTTTTTCAACTTTTACAATAATTTTCTCTACTCGGTGTTTTGTTGTTGTTGCTGTTGCTGTTGTGTTCCGTAAAGTCAACTTTAGGTCGACAAAAAAAATAAAAAATTGAAAATATAACAACAACAAAGTTAAGTATACATACATAAAAGTACAAACGTATTTTTTATGTATATATATATGTGTGTTCTATATATATGTATATATACATATATGTGGAAAAACATATGTACGCCTCTACATAAATAAATAGATATTCTGTATATAAAGTAACTTCATTGGCAACGCTTATTGTTGTGTGTACGTAATACATATTTGAAAATGTGATTGTAACAAAACAAAAAACAAAATAAAAGCAACAATAAAAAAAAAAAAAAAAAAAAAAACGAAAAAAAAATTGGAAACACCGTTTTTATCCAACTCTACAATTACTCACACTTTAGTATGCAAAATATGCCGACAACCTATAAAATGTACTATAACAACGCTATGAAGAGAAGGCTCTATAGCATACATTTTTCTTCTTTTTTTTTCCCCCATTTTTGTTTATTTGTATAATTCATATCGATACAAACAACTGTATATATCTAACATACATAACATAGCTCCTCTATCTGCTCTACAACTCGCTGTCGTTCCATTTGAGGTAAAAACCTCACTTTGTGTCTCTACCCAACTACCCAACCAACCAACCAACCAAACAACCAACCAACCGATCGACCAACCAGCTATAATTTTATTTCAAGTTGTACTACTAGTGTCGTATTTATTTGAACGTTGTGCCTGCCCGGCATGTTTGTCTGCTTCCCTTTATTTTATTTTTTTTTTTATTTATTTTTCTTTCTCTATTATTGTTTTTTATTTTAATAGGTTTTTATTGTAATTTTTTATTATCGTTTTTTCTTTTTTTTTCGCTTCCGAGTTTACTTTGTTTTACATTTAGTTTGGGAAAAAAAAATAAAATATTTTTTATGTATAACATTTTTGACCACGCAAACCCAATATTTCAAATATTAGCAAAATCCGAAATTTAATTTAAACTTTACTTAAACGGCGCGAAGTTCAATTTCAAATATTTAAAAAGCTTAGCAAAAGGTAAATAAAACCAGCAGGAGGGACTATACTATTTTAGACATGCTGCTGGACATACTTAAAAAAAAGACTTCGCAATCCCATTCTACATTGCCTTGACGGCAATGTGTCATACCTTTGGGCGTGTGAAGCGGAAACTGAGAGGAGAATCATATTAATTTTGGGTCTAGCCTTTCGTATCTTCGACTTTAAAGGAAAATACTGGAGATACTTCCATTCATCATAGGCCGATGAGGTGCGCCATTTTTACCATTATCTTTAGAATGATTTTTTAAGTTATATTTGCACTGATCTGCGGATCAATACCTACAAT